TCGCGACCCTCGCTGCGACCTTCGCCCCGCTCGGGGCTACTAACGGGGTGATGGACCTGAGGTGCCTAACGTAAAGGAGCCCGGTCTCGTCCTTGACTAGGGCCCACCAGGCCTAAAGGGAACCACAGAACCCTAGGAAGGAAAAGGAGGTGAACGTGTTCCCCAAGAAAGAGAGTGGTGGCCGGATTAATCTGATCTCCCATTTGTAAACCTTAGGCCTCTCCTATCTATATAAAGAGATGTCTAGGACCTTATTAGCGATCCAATCTGGAACTCAACTCTCGGTAGACATCTCAAACACCATTGTAATCCTCTGCACGAGGTATCCCCTCACCATGAATACCAAGACAAAGCAGGACGCAGGGTATTACTCTTTGGAGGCCCAAACTTGGGTAAATTGTGTGTGCATACTCCGTTCCCGTACCTCCGATTTCGTCATGAACCCTACCGAGGGATCGGACGGGAATTCACTCCATCACAGGGGTTGTTTTCTATATTTGAAATCTGCCTCCCTTCACCATATTTTAAATTCACGAAGATCCTTAACTTTGGAAAAAAACTGAAAAATATAGAGCGGCTTTGGGGGCAAGTTTGCGACCAAAGGAGGGCTCAAGAAGGTTCCTAGATTGCCCACACACCTGGCCTAGGTGCCCCTTCTAAGTAGGGCACCTACAGGGGGCACGAAGAGCCCCTAGGCGCTCCTTGGTGCAAAACCTATCATCATATTTTTCTGGATTTTTTCCTAAGGTTACATACCAATTTTCTCTGTAATTCAAAAACACCGTAAAACAGGAACTCACACTACACACTTAATTAATAGGCTAGTGCAAATGTGCAATGATAAAAAAAATGTGCCCAAAGAATGTATAAATGATACTATAATGGTGTGGAATATACAAAATCATGGCTATGTCAAAGACATACCAATTACCCCATCACCAATCCTTCCTCAACTATGAACTCTTTAAGATGATCATACCAAGCACATGGAGCTTGCTTGAGATGGTACAATGCCTTGTGTATTTTATAGACGTGGCCCTTGTGGCGAGGACCTTTGAAACTGGGTAGTTGTGCAACATATACTTCATCATGTATAGGACCATTAAGAATAAACTTTTCACATCCATTTGATATAAAGTGAATCCATTGAATGCGACATATGCAAACATCATACGAATGGATTCAAGATGGGCAACAGGGGCAAATGTTTCATCAAAATCCAAGCCTTAAACTTGCGAGAAACCTGTGAACTGGTCATAGCTTAGATGGTTAGGTTCCTTGTGGTGGAACCAACCCACCAGGGTTCAAGTTCTAGACTTGACACTCGTGCTCTCATTTTCCTGGATTTATTTCAGGCTTACCGACGATGTTTATTCAATGGGAGGAGACATTCCGGTCGACTACGAAGGCACTGTGGTGACTTCATCAATCTCAACATGTAGGGCATGCGTGTGTGTGTGTCTGTGTGTGTTCATAGAGGGTGAGTGTATGTGTGTTTATGTGAGCATATGTGCTTGTAGTGTGTTAAAAAACTTGGGATAATGACCACCCCATGCTCATCTTGCTTGTTCTTGAAGTCTCATTTGATTCATGCGATGCTATGACCCTCTCTAGTTGGCCTCTTCACAAGAGACCGTAGTTTGTTGTGGGTGAAGTGCTTCTACTCTTCTTACATGGCAACAACTCAATCCGATCCCATCAAAGCTTTATGGACAATAAGTGGTTCAAAACTAAAAATAAACAAGAAGCGTGCACAAAAGTTAGCCGATTGTTTACAAGTGAGTACCCCTTGTGACAATTCACTTAGGAGAGAGAGTACTTAGCACGGGTGCTAGCGAGAGATATGTTTTTATATCCCGCATTGAAAATCCTATTCCTCGGTGATCAAAGCCCAAAGATCTATGAACCACCTCATGTTTGACTAACCAATTAGATAACCAACCTACTACATTGTCTTCATCTCTCCCTCTTTGTATAAATATTTCACATTTCAGATGCAAGTTTGAAAGATTGCCCTGCTTTTTATTTTTTCTACACAAAAGAGCCCCCCTCCCAATTCACTAATTTGTCAACTTGAACCCGGGCAGCCGCTAAAGGCATGGAGGAATGTGGAAACTTGAAGATATTCATCATCATTTTGTTCTTCATCTCATCTCATTTATCCACTGTTGGAGCTTATGATTAAACACTTGATGTACTTGCTCCATCTTGAGCTTGATCGTTTTGTTTGCTCTTGTGTTTGATCTTAATCATGGACTTGTTCTTGGTGTTGCGCAATGACTTGGTCTTCCTGATGATTTAAATATCTAAATGCCTTAGTGCAACTAAAATCGCTTGCAAGGTTAAGCCAAATCTCATGTCACATTTCAAAGTTTTGTGCAAAACGACATAACTTGCAAATTAATGATATGTTCAATGCTAAACGCTTAGGAAATAATAATAAACATCATAATAGTAGGAAAACATCAGAGCACCCTCTATTACAACAGCAGACGCTAATCACATGTGCTAACAAAACCAATCGACTGTTGCACATAACATCTTATCTCATGCGAACAAAAAAGCCCAAGTGCTCGACATATTTCCTTTTGCGCCATCCCTGACCGCACGATTCAATGGCCCAACCGCCCATCGACCAGAAAATCAACCCTAACGCACTATACTAGTGCCTCGAGCCGGGCATGCCCAAACAAGTGTTTGCATCCAACTTATATACATCTCTCCCTAATAATAATAAAGCGGCTATTGTTTCTGCCCGCTCACCGCCGCGGTGTCTTTGTAAAAGGCCCCCCTATGGTTTTTAGTAATTAATCCACAATCCAATAAATAAGTGGAAAAAACGTTTTGTAAAACCATCCGTATTTCTGCGTCCTCCACGCCGCCTGGGCCCTCTGCTAATGGGCTTTCTCATTGCCTTCGTAGGATAATGCCGGGGCAACGACGTCCTGCGCTCAGTAGCAAACGAGAAGAGAGAGAGAGAGAGAGAGAGAGAGAGAGAGAGAGAGAGAGAGAGAGATGTTACAGGAAGGAGAAGGAACTAGAGGGGAAAAAAGGAACGAGGAGAGGGACGCAGCGAGGCCGGCGGGGATGGGGAACTCCTCGGGGGGCGGACTCGGTGATGAGCATGGGGGATGGAGGAGGCGCTCGGGGGCGAGGGAGACATGTGGGCACCGGACCAAGATGTGGGAATCGGTCTCTCACTCGCTCTAGGGTTAACGGAGGTAGGTGGGTCGACTGGCGTGGAAAGTTTAGGCTGGGTCTGATGGTGTTGGGCTGGTTGGACTCCCTCTCTCCTTTTTTTTTCTTTTTTAATTAAACACAAACTTGAACAAAATAAAGATAGAGAAGGGATTTAGACCAACATAGTTCTCTGGGATCAGAGAAATATACGGAATTTAAATATAGTTGTAATCTTGTTTTTTCCGCAACTAACACTGTGCACATTTGTCATGGTTGGAATTTGTTTAATATTGAAAACCTAAGATTACAACTGTATACTTGGAATCATGGTTAGAAGTTGAATGATAAGGGATGAAATAATTGATTTTGGGTCATAAATCAAATTAAATGTTACGTTTTTTCTTTCATTGCAACGCAAGAGCCCTTTTGCTAGTAAAAAATTAAATATTTTGGCTAAAACAAACCAGATATGGCCTGAACAAGGTTAACCAAAAAAATCGTTTATGTGCGAGAAAAAAGAAAGAGCAAACAAAGGAGTACCATTTCGCTCCCAAACATTGAACAAACTCCTCTTCAAAACCGTAGGCGGCAGCAACACGTTCCACGACACTTCGAGCTCAGAAGCGAAAAATCTCGCTGATGAAGCTCAAAACCATAGTACTGTAGTAGACACCTTCCGGGCCCACCGCGCAAACCACGTTATCCATGACTCCCCGAGGCTAATCCTGTCCCTTAAATCCAGCCGGAGCACGCATGCGTGGGCACTCGGCCTCTGCCTCCCACCCAAGCGACTGACTGACAGAGGGAACACATTTGGAACGAGAAAAAAAAACACGCAAAACGCGAAGGCTTCAAAAAGCCAAAGCCTCC